GCATGGCCCTGTGAGCAGGAGATAAAATCTCGAGCGAGAGTTTTTTAGAGTAAGCAAATAGAAAGGGTGGGAGAATCCCACATTTAACAGCTCCCTTCTTTTTCAATTTTTTTTTTATTATATCATACCCCTAAGAGCGAGGTTGATACCAGGGCACGGGAAGGTCAGGTAAAGGAATTTGAATTAGCACTCCGAGTGATTACAGTCACAGCTTTCCAAGAGAGCGAAGAGCATGGAAGAGGTTGCTGGAGGGCATCGACTAGACGAGTATCATCCGAACACAGACGGAATAAAAGCCCCCAAGAGCCTGAAAACATTTAAGGAATTATGGTATTTCGTGTACAGCCCCTTTGCTTCGATGATATCATACCAACTCCGCTTGTCATAGCAAGCCACAGTTTCTTGAAAGATTCTAGAGGAATTGTTCCTCATAGGATGGAAAGGTCTGGCTGTTTTGGCATCGTGACGGTGGATAAGCAGGAGGGCGCACCCTCTAACTTACTACTTTTTGTATCCATCTATTAATAGCAGCCGGTAGTTAGACTAGCCTCAAAACGCAACAAATCAAGGTCACGTGACCTGTCCATAGTCAGGGTTCCCTATCGAAGGGTAACAAAAGGTTATCATAATATTATTATGTCATTATACAACTAAGTCCCGAACCCTATCCTAAACACTCCAGCTATGGTTTCTACGATAATATCATACAACAAAGTCAAAAATCACACTTCTGCCAACAATGTATGAGTATGATACCACCCCAAATAATGGCAACCCTGAGCGCGTTACACATTCCAAGAGATCATTACCGGGGTAGTAGCCATATCCCCGACTCTATAGGATGCTAAAGTATCTATCGAAAGGAGCAAGATATCGGGAGAGCTGGGGCATAAGCGGGCCCACAACCAGAATGCACATCCCGAGCTGGTGGATAAGTTAGATGGAGTAGTGTGCTACCATGGCCAATTACCCAGCGCATAGAAGCGACGGGTATTGGTATCATAGGGAAATCCACGACGCTGTCGATTTATATCCACAGTCTTTCAATAGGCATTCATAGTGCTTCCACAAATATAACCGGAAGTCTACATCATCCACCACTAGCCCTCGGTGGATTTGTTTTGAGCCAACACCGCGCGTCGCTTGGACCATGGACTTTGAAACTTGAAGGTTGTGGTATCCACCGTGCACGCGCTCCAAGAGGGTGAGGACCCGAGTGATATATGATGTCTACCAGATCCAGTATAGGGCACTGTACATGGTTGGGGGAGAAAATAATGAAAAACCACTTCTCTCTAAAACTACTCGTGATAGCTACTGTGTATTCTGCGGGGCGCTCTCGTTTAATTCAGAATTTTATCCCCGGGACAGCTGGGGACCGCGAGGACAGAGTTGTGCAGAGAAACGCATAAAAGGGCCGGAACTCTACCGCTAAACCGACCCTCAATTCAACCCTTGCTTCCCTAAACTTACATTTATATCTTTAAATTTGTAATCTTCAGCCACTATAGCAGAACTTAGTCAACGTTAGCGCTTGGAAACAACAGGTGTTTATGAGGAAATCGCCGACACCAATCCATCCATGTCCATTGTGCTCTACCGTCATGAGCAGTACCGACAGTGTTGCCCACCGTGCAGCCAAGAGGGGATTTTGCCCAGCACAGTGAACCATGACACACTAGATATTTGGTGCTTTTTCATACTGATCCCATTCAATGTCTCCATACACTAAAAGCAATGCGGTATAGTTCGCCCGGCAACCGGGGAAAATAGTTCGTATGAAGAACTAGGCCCTCAAGTGCACCAGCACTGAAGAGTCTTCGCCGAAGATTTATAGAATAGTGCCAGAAGGAATAGCGATCCGAGGCTTCCGAGGAGGAAACGCCGATAGCCCCAAGATCCACCCGATTCTACAAGACGGGGTGATGTCTGAAACGTTCTCCAACTACCTAATCTGCCGCGCCCATCGTGTAAGGTTGAGAAAAGCGGTGTCATGGCATTTAGACGCTTAGCCGCTTCTTCAGGTGTTGGGGGGCGCGTTTTTGATAAAAAAATGAAGGTAATCGTAGATTTAGCTGAGAAATCTAGTGGTTGAGTGATGTCTCATTATCATACTACTAATCCCTGCCAAGCCTTTGAATGGGGGTCGCTACCCTGCATCTCGCATTCATCACCGGGTAACCCTTGGCGCTCAGAAATCTGTCGCGGTGGGTTCGTCGAGATACCACCCGTGCTCAAATACTGTAATATTGAGACGAATTCATTGACCATTCCATCCACATAACCGCAATTCTACTCGAGTACTGTATCCTCCACAAGTCTCCGGAGCATATCCAAGTTACCACCGGCCACAGATAGTGCTAACCACAGACTCCGGTACACCCAATCGCTTTTCTCCACAAGCCTTCTCCCGATGCCATTCGCCTGGCGCTCACTATCTCTCAATAACACGGAGGCCCACTACTCCCCAAGTTTCACCCCCGGATTCCGCCCTCCCGCTGAGCAACACAGATACGGAGAAGAAACGCAAACGTAATTGGGAAAGGAGGATTGGACGATAAGGACTGGGAACATGTTTCTCGACCGGTTTGGTTGGGCCTGGGGTCGCATCGGCAGCGCTGGAAACCGGGTGATGTTGCTCGTACAGAGAGTTATATAATGGTTGGATCCGTGGTACCAACGGCAGGCTCAATTACTCGCAATAGACAAGCGTACGGGGTTCCAGAGAAGTTCCCAGACCCACACGGAGCCCCGGATGACGGCGGTGTGAGAGCTCGTGGAGTGTTTTCAAAGGAGCTGGATCGGTCGAGAAGTATATAGCTAAAGTGACATCAGGTTTCCCGAAACGCGATCCGTTGTAGATCCTTCCTTGCTGGTATTCCTAAGAGTCGTTGGGTAGCTGGCTGGTAAGGTAGCAGTGATCGTGGAAAAGCGACGAAGGCGAACCGGAGCACTCCTGATCACCCAGCCGAGCAGTTGCCCATGGCTGTTGGATATCATTTCTGGTATCGGGTTAATATAGGAATTCATCCGGATGCAGCGGAGATATTGGTCCACCGCCTTCAATTCCAACCCCCCCATCGCACTCTGCTCGTGGCCTTCCTATCGCTCCGCTCCCCAACCTTCTCCATTCATCTGCCTGATTTAGCTATTTTTTTGAGGGGCACACTTTGTCTATTTTGTGCCCAGTTGGACCTGCATTGGAATAATAGAAGCGGATAATGGAAAGAGGTCTATAAAATTATAAATCGTCAAATGCCCTTCCCGAGTACGTTAGAAAATATCCGCGGCACAGACACTATTGCCACACTTGAATTATCCCTAACCCCAGAATATCCTAGGGGACTATCATAGAAAGCGGCAAATACAGACGAAGGGATACCAAATTAACTACGGTACGGTGGTTTTTTTTTTACCTCCGACGGTATTGGGTGCCGGGACTCCAAACCCCCCCGTCTATCCCGTCACTAGCCTCCGCGCCCGAGCATCGGTAAGTTAGAAGGGGTTATTGCTTTTTCCAAGGACTTTTAAGCGGGGCGGTCGTTCTAGTCCTGTGCTGTAAGATAAATGTAACTAGCTAGAAGACCTAACCAGATCCATTGCACCCACTTCTTCCTTCCGCACTGTCACCTCCGGACTGTCAACAACAGAAAACACCTGGAAGGCCGGGCGGAAGGGGTGGAGGAAATGGAAAAATGGAAAGCGAAAAAACAGAGTCAAAAAATACCTCTGATCTGATGGAAAATACAAAAGAATGCTTCCTGCGAGACCTCCACATTGCCTGGAGACGGGTGTTATTGGGCTGAAGGGGCAAGACCAGCTGCAAATGGAGCAAATTGTTTCCAACTCCCTTGAGATCTCTAGGACGCCCACGCTAGTCCAATAATTTTACTGGACTCACCGTGCGGTCCTCGGGAACCGGTAGATTAGGTGATACTTCTCCGCCCCTGCCCCCGCTTGTGCTAAAAGACTGCTCGGATAGGGCTTTTCTAGGGTTCCGTTTGTGTTGCTTGGAGGAATTTTTTTGGTCCACCACGGCCCGGGGGGCTTCTCCACTCATGCAATATCTATACAAAACTAGGCTGTGTTCTCAAGAAGCTCATTAACCTTTGCCCAAGGAAGTGGATATACTGAGTAGAACTTACGCCAACTCAGCTCTCAAAGCTTTACTCCGAAGGGAATAGTTTCTCTGTCTTAGCCAGCTTAGGGTCCTTTAAGTAACTAAAGCAGGACTTCAGAAGAGCTCTGCAATACTCGTACTCGAGCACCGGTAGTTTCTAACCTTTTTGTTAACCCTGGTGCAAGTGTCAGGCCAGTTGTACGAGTACTTGTACAACTATCATACCATAAGTTACCGCGTCACTGCAGTGCGTAACCGCAAATAATTCCCCAAGGCCATCCATACCGGTACCGTACTCATACTTGTGAACATAAGACTGGTACTGTATGCCCACCCCACTCCATTATTTCCATGCCTTCCTCTTCCCAACCCCTGTGAGACTCGTCTCCCTATTATCGGTATGATACCCAAAAACCGTTTCGCTCTCAAAAGCGTAAAGCGCAACGGCCTCACGTTTCTCAGGGTCCTTGGACAATGGAAACCCTGACCGCCAAGCAGCAGAGCCTCAACCCAAAAGTCAGGAGTCAGCCCCCTGCGCGTGGTTTGTCCAACAGAACCAACGATCAGCTTGGACGGGCTGAGCCCTATTCCATCGCATCTAGACCTTTCTCCCCACAGAGCTCGATATACTTCTAGGTTAGGCGCGAAATAGAATAAAATTCACGGAAACTCGTTCGGCTCATCTGCAGCGCTGGCTTCTTCTCAGGTATAGTACCCCATACTCCCTTCCGTTTCTCTTCCCTTTAGGGGTGCTCAGTCGCCTAATACAGAAACCACGCCACTTTAGTCCCCCCCCGGACCATCGACCCCCCTCCTTTCCCCCGCTTACACACCCCCAACCCATCCACCTCCCCTCGCCAACGACCCAGAGGCATCATCCATGCAAGCCCTGACCCTAACCATCAAGCGGAGAACAGACATCTATCTCCTCCCCTTCCTCTCCCTCATCTTCCTCCTAAACTCCCTCGACCGCTCGAACGTTGGAAACGCCGAGACCGCGGGTTTTACGCGCCACGCAGGGCTTGCGCCGGAGGATTTGAACGATGCTGTGAGCGCGTTCTTTGTCGCGTTCGTACTACTGCAGCCGGTCGGCGCGGCGTTGGGTAAGAGGGTTGGTGTCGGGAGATGGGTTGGTGGGGTTATGGTTGGATGGGGGATCTTGACGGGGTTGAATGCGTTCGTGCGATCCAGGTCGCAGTTGATCGGGTTGAGGATTTGTATCGGGGCTTTAGAAGGTATGTTTTTAAACGCTTTGGGGTCAGGGTGGGGACGGGGGGCTGATTTGAATCGCGTATCTGGCAGCGGGGTTTTACCCAGCGACGGTGTTCTATTTGTCGTTATTCTATACACGATATGAGTTCGCTCAGCGGTTGGGTATGTTCTACGGGCAGTACGCTGTCGCCGGGGCTTTCGGTGGTTTGGTATCGTACTTTGTGTTCAGATTATTTCCCACCGGTTCGTTCTCCTACCCCACCCCCCGCCCCGCTATCTCTAACCACCCCTCTCATCTCAGAACCCGAAGGCGACATTAGAGCACCTTCCACCCATGAACCCGAACACGAAGGCTGGTACAGCTACCAGATCCTCTTCCTCCTCGAAGCCGGTCTTACCATAATAGCCGCACTCACAGCCTTCCTCTGGCTCCCGACCGGCCCGAAAAATGCCTGGTGGCTCAAGACATCTGCGGAACGAGCTTGGGCCGAGAAACGCATCTTAATAGACCGCGCGCAGGCGGAAAACGCTCTCGAAGTGGAGGAAGAAGGCGAGGAGCTCCTAGCCGACAACGAATCCGACGAGGAGGAGGCAAAGCAGCGACGGAGAAGAAGCCTAAGCACCAGCAAGAACGGCAAAATAATCGGCGGTGAACCCGGCTTAAACATGCAAGACATCACCGACGCGATCACAGACTGGCGCGTCTGGTGGCTCCTGATCTGCAACATCACCTCCTCCGTCCCCGGCATCGCATTCGGTGTCTTCCTCCCGCTCGTCGTGAAGGGCTTCGGATACTCCACCTTACATGCGAACCTCCTAACGATTCCTCCATTCCTGTGTGGTGCCTGCTCCCTCTGGTACACCACGTACCTCTCAGACCGCTCACGCCTACGCCTCAAGTACATCCTCTACGGCCTCACCCTTTCGCTATTCTCCCTCGCATTGCTAGTCCTACTGCCCCTAACCGCTCTTACCCCACGCTACGTCGCCCTCTGCTTACTGCTCTCGGGGACGTACATCGCTTCCCCCCTAACCGTGGCGTGGCTAAGCAATAACATGGAAACACCTGGCAAGCGTGCCGTCGTGCTCGGGATAAATGGCTGGGGCAATGTAGCGGGCGTGCTGGCGAGTTGGATCTTTCGTCCGGAGTGGGCGCCCGGGTACGAGAGGAGTTTTGGCTGGACGATGGGAAGTGTTGGCATCGCGTGGGTGGGCTATGCGCTCTTCTGGGTTGCGATCAGGGGCGGGAATGGAAGGCGGGGGAGGATGGGGTTGGCGTTGGTTGGCGAGTGAATTGGCTTTTCTTCTCACCTTTCTTCATCTATGGGTAGAGGGTCGGGTTTCCGTTGTCTCATGTTCTTTCCTTCTTCCAGGTTCTGGCACGTATAATTACTTTTTTGCGCTTCAAATTCAGACTCACCCGTCACGGGATATCACCCGGCTAGCAAGTTCGAAATTAACTTTATGGTAAAAGATTTATGCACAAGTGTGGCACCTCCGTCATGGATACCCAACCATCCAGCAAACTAGAAAAAAGAAAAAAACGCTTTATGGAATGCCTTCTCTTCCCTTGCCCTCTCTTTGACAATCCCAGCTCCCCGCACATCCAAAACAAACCCGCCACCCAAGTATGATACAACACTACACAGCCATTCCTAAGGTGGTATTATACAGTACAGGTTCGGCACGGGGTGGGTTTGGATGCGCGTGAAGTTAGTGTATTGGTTGGTAATATGAGGCGATTTGGTTTGGTTTGGTTTGGTTGAGTGGTGTATATACACGAACAGGAAAAGAGCGAAGCGAGAGAGAGAGACTCCCAACCGCCCTTTAGACGAGCTAAAGGGATGATTGGAAATATGATGGATCACGAAAACGTGCAATCCTGACTAAAAAGTAATGTATATTGCTCCGATTCCCCGTGCGTAAGTCCCATGTCTTTACCTCTCCTGCCCTTCAGTTTGCCCAACCAGGACTGTGCATATAACCACGTAACCGGTATACCCGTATTATTGATTGAAAGAATGGCATAAGCTCATGAGGTGGCTTCGCGCATCGGGATACCATATCACGTTGTAGGAGAAGACAGAGGTCGGGTGCCGAGTGCTGGGTCATGATGTGGGGTGCATTGTTGGTTCAGTAATGTTGTTGGTTGCGTTGGTTATATATATCGTGGGTATGTGTAACGACGGGCCATCGTATGTTGATCATCGGCGGCAGCGAGGAATGAGGTAATTTAGATGATGATACTCGGCGAATGGGGGAATCCGAAAGGGAAATAGAACCGAGGACGAATGTGTGAAAGAAAATGGCAGAGTGTGTACCGGAAAAAGAGAATTAATGAAAAAGAACAGAAAAAGAGGAGACAGCACCCGACTCTCTAAATGGTTGACCGGCGCTGTGTGCCCCCAGACTTGGTGTACTTCTCTAGTAACTTTACCACACTGTGATGCCCATTCTGGCGCGCCCAGCCCAGTGGATTCCGGCCGTCTGTGGTCGCTTGAGTGGGATTGACATCTTTGTGGGCTAATAGCGTCTTCACAATACTCGCGTGGCCATGCATGGCAGCCAGCAAAAGCGGAGTATGCCCCACACAGCGGTCTGCAACGTTGGGCCTAACATCTTTCAGTTTCAGTAACAGGTTGACTATCCCCTTGTGTCCGTTCATGGCGGCAAAATGAAGCGGCGTGGACCCATCGATGGCTAAAGAGTTCGGATCGACATCTCCGCGCTGCATCAATAGCGTCGCAACGCCTTGGTGACCATTGAGAGCGGCCCAGGATAGGGGCGTTCGGCCGGTGGACCTATCAGAAGCTTCGGGGGAAACGTCCTTGCGGGCCAGCAAGAGCCGCACGATGCCCTCACGCCCTTTCATGGCGGCCAGAGAAAGAGGAGTCTGACCCCGTTGCCCGTCCGGTAGGTTGGGCTTGATATCCTTGCGGTCGAGGAGTAGCTTGACTACTCCCTCGTGTCCGTGGACTATGGCAAAATGTAGCGGCGTCGGGCCACCCTTTGCGACGGAATTGGGGTTCACATCTTCGCGGTTCAGCAAAGCCCTCACTACACCTTCATGGCCGTTGAGAGCGGCCCACGCAAGAGGTGTCCGATCGTAGAAACCGTCAGCTAAATCGGGCTGGACGTCCTTCCGGTCGAGTAGTAGTTTCACAACACCCTCGTGCCCTTTCTCCGAAGCGAGTGATAGTGTTCGGTGTAAACTCTTTTTACTCCCCGAATTGAGTTTCGCTGTTTCCAACAAGAGTTTAACGACCCGCTCGTGCCCCGCCCGTGCAGCCCAATAGAGCGGAGTTTGCCCATAATTGTCGGCAGAGTCAGGATCGGCATTGGCGAGGCCCAAGAGCAACCGCACTGTCCCCTCACGTCCATTCTCAGTAGCCCACGAAAGGGGCGTTCTCCTGTTTTTGTCGGTAGAGTCCGGCTTGACTTCGCTCCGACGGATTAGGAGCTTGACCACCGCTTGGTGCCCGTGTTGGGCGGCCCACGAGAGAGGAGTTCGCCCATAGGAACGGTCCGCTATATCCGGATTGACTCCCCTCTGGCCAAGTAGGAGCTTCACAATACTGATGTGTCCATTCTTAACAGCCCGGGAAAGCGGTGTCGTGTACAAAACATCCATCGGATCGGGATTGATGTTTTTCTGGGCTAGCAGCATCCTCACTACTTGATCATGGCCGTTCTCAGCTGCCCAAGCGAGGGGTGTTAGGTTGTACTCATCTACCGAATTATAATTTACAGCGGCCCGGTCTGTAGTCGTCTCAGATGGTCTTATATTCACGCTCCAAGTAGTTTGCCGCATCCGTGTTCGCATCCAAATGTCCACAGGTTTGACACCAGTTTCGCCCCGACTCAAGAGCAGCTCGACTACTGATTCACCCCCGTTTCTGGCGGCCCAGGTGAGTGGTGTGTGCCCCAAAGCATCTTTTGAATCTATTTCGATAGTGCCTTTTGCTATTAAAGAGCTAACAAGTTCGTGTATACCGAGAGACGCAGCGCAGTGTAATCCGGTGAAACCATCTGAGGCACATTCGATCCACCATGGCCAACAGTCTCTCGCGGACAGGAAAATACTAGCAGATACATGACGAGGGTATTGATCAAGCAAAGCTAGTGCAAGGGATTTAACTGATGTTGTCAGTTCCTTTTTGGCATGCAATCCCCAGTAGCACGAAGCGTACTCAGCAAAGGGCAGTGTCGACGGGGCGACACGGAGAGCCGAGGGAAGACACTTGACAGAGTCAAAGTTGAGATAAGTTAAACAAATCTCGGCAATCTTAGCGTGAGGGTTCCGAAAAATATCTGGTTGGGCACGCAGATACTCCTGGAGAGTCGAATGCACAAGACGGACCGTTGGTGTTTCCTTATCGACGGCGACGAGTCCTAGGCAGGATCCCAGCAAGGTTTCTATAGCTGGGATATTGTTCGGATCGAGATCTGTGGTTCCGACTTTGACGGCAAAGGCATGACAGAGCTCATCGACACGCAGGGGCCGCTCCGTCAGAGAAATCCACATTAGAACTGAGAACCCCAGTGCTGATCGGGGGCGACATTGCTGGCGGATCCTCTCCAAGGTTGCGCCGTAAGCATCGCCCAACCCATCGGCCCTTTGGCGTAGCTGTTCTCTCCTTCCGGAGATAGTCGTCTCGGCCAATATAGCATCAGTTTGCAAGGTTACCAGCAGGAATCTTGAGACTATTATGAGTGAATCAAGTATGCCCAATAGGAGTTCAGTTTCCACTCACATCTCTGAGAGGGTCTTGGGGATCCTTGCCATTATCTCCGACTTCAAGTCATCGTTCATTGCTTCAGGATCCGGGTCATCTTCCAGCCTTGAGATTAGATACCTCCTAACGTCGTTCTCACTGGGCTGGATAGTTACGGCGATTGCTGATTTGGTAAGGTGATTCTTGATTTCAGCACGAATGTGCGGTCGTCCGGTAAGAAATAGACGGGCATGTGGCGAATCTTGCAAAATCTGGCGCAGAGAGCGCAAAACCTCTGGTCTATGTTGCTCCCGTAGCTCGTCTAATGCGTCGATGCATATAAAAACCCGCTTGAATAATGCAAGAACCCCACGGAACATTTTGATCATCTCGCTAACTCGTAGGCTTCGCCCTCCGTAATTCTCCTTTAAATCTTTAAAGGCTCGGCGTGTTTCTTCGGGGATTCGGGGCAATCTGACCAAAAATTGTTTCAGGAGTCCTCCGATCACGCTGAGCGCAACTTGCTCATTCTGCGCCAGAAAATCGCAATAGAAGCAAGCAACCCCTAAGCTATTTCCAACACCGGTATCGAGTAAGGTATCCACTACGAGGGAACTAGCACCGGAACAATTCGTGTTAGCACTTGCACACAACCGGAAGTGGCTGTAATACAATACATACTTCATGAAAGTCTTTCCCGCCCCCGGTACTCCCAAACATAAAAGCGTGGTATCTACTCCTCCATCATTCCTATCATACCAGGTCCGGTACTCTGCTGTTTCCAAGAACCACTCTCCCACACCGTCAAGCCTCCGTGTTCGTATATCTTGATGCCTTTGGAGTGGTTCTAACGGGGATATCCATGACAAAATCTCTGTCCTCTCATCTATAGCTGAAGTGTAAGTGACATTGTTGTAAATGTTGTGAACATTGAAGGAGTTTGTGTTGCCGGTAATAGACATGTTCTGGTCCATGTTGACTGAAGTGTTGCTATTGATTATAGAGTATTATCCGAGGCCAGCAGGTGATAATGATTGCCGAATTTCAGGAAGACAGAAGATGTCATAATTTATTGATCTAGAGGCGGGGTTAATGACATAGCACCGGGGGGCACGGTCCAATCATTAACTAAGAGAGCCATATCTTGGCACTGACCAGCTCAGCGAGCAATCGCGATGAGCGCGGGACTTCCCAGTTAGAATTTAGAAACTGTGTCCAAAGAGCGAGAAGCATGTTCACTTGATAGCGGAGGGGGGTGTTGGGATCACCGGTACTAACTTGCCGGTAGCAAATGACGATGTGCCACTGCTATATCCCACCTCGCAAGCTGTTTCAAGTGTGCAGAGTACATATGGTTGGCATCTCCGCCTTCCGTCCGTCCTGTCGCAGCCTGAAGTTGGAAGCAAGAGATGAAGTTGGAAGCAAGAGATGAAGTTGGTATAATTGTACCGGCAGCACTCTACACTGTACTCGAGCACACAAAACTGTTAGCATTCACTCCCTTCTCGCCAACTTTCGGACTCCCTTCATGGCCCTCCCCGAGGCCATGGATTCCGGTATCTCGGCTGCGAAAAATAC